TTAATCAATTTTATTAATGTGACCAGGTCATAAAATGTATTTATGGCTAAAATATACAAAATGCAGTTTAAAAATGTACAACCAGTTAATAAAACATATTATGTTCATTAATGTATGTTATGCTCATATTGATAGATTGTCCTGCAAAACCGAAATTGTCCTGAAAAACTGATTCATATATGTGTTGCCTTGCACATAGGTTTGAGGAGGTACACAATGAGTGAAATTCTCTCATGTACTTTTGCTACTTCAGAATATGTATGAGGGAATATTAGAATTTCATTCTGTGTGGAAACTATATGTCACAGCCTTTCTCCCTTAACTGGCCAGAAGATATGTTTTGATAGAAGCCAAAATTCCTTGCTTAAAATGAAATGGAAACATGCTGATAGTCAACAGTCATTCACTTCCCACTTTATATGAGATGATAAATGAAGGAATGCTAGCCTGGTATGATGTCCTAACTAAGGATCTAGTTTGTTTGTCCCAATAAAGCTATAATCACAAAGCTACAACAAAAATTTGACTTTTGCACAATCACAATAAACTAGATAACTTGCTTATCGTTATGTGTGAATGTTGTTTGAGAGAGGAGATGACTGAAGTGCACTTTCAGATAAATACTCCTCCCTTGTCATGCTGTACATATACAATCATATGATTGCCCACGTGGTAGAATCAGCTCTCAGTCTGGTCCTGTTTTAAAGCAGTGATTCCCAACCTGGGGTATGTGCAATCTATTTAGAAGTATATATGTGGGGGAAAAGGATAATGGTGGAAAATTGTACATCCATCAACAGTGGAAGTCGCAGCTCAGCTTCTTCCTTCCCTCCCCACCCATTGTGTGAGAGCCCAGCTGTGACGTCCACCCTCGTGCCCCCTTGCTTGACCTTCAAGCCCCAGAGCACATGAAGGTAAACACTCTCCTTTTACACTTGCTGCCACCAGGTGATCTCCAAATCACCATTTACTTCAGAAAGATTCAGGTCCACACTTCAAGTTCTTTCAAATAAAACTTTGGTTTATTGATTACAGAGATTGATTCATTGATATCTTCAGTAGCTGATCATTCCTCAGAATTTTCTAAACTACACACTCTATTACACTGTCTGGATTTTCTCTCCTGCCTGACTCTTACATTTCTCTCATTGTCTCTATCTCTTAATCTGACTTAAAACTCCCCTCTGACTCTCTAACCCCGCCTCTTATAGCATCCCTCTTGACTCCGCCTCTTAGCAACTTGAATATTCATAAACCATTACATAATACAACAAGAACCATAGATTAATAAATGGAGAACGCTACACCAGCCAATTGGCTTTCACTCCAAAGTGGTGTCCATTGTTGGTCTGCGACTAACCAAGGAGCTTGTATCTCCTGCTCCTTTTCCATTGACAGCAATTTGTATGGGACAAAATTCCTTACAGATTTTAACCCCTTTGCTGACACACTCATGCATGCTACCAGAAGCAATGAGGAAGTGGATTGAAGGTGAGACAGGGGACAGTCCCTTCCTAGTGTCACCTCCGCCCATATGAACGGTTCTGTTTATGGAAATGAGCTGCCGAGGGGTACACAAAAGAAAAAAAAGTTGGGAACCACTGCTTTGCATCAAAGGGAAATTTTTGCTGCGCATTGGTGATTTTTAAACCATAGCTTCTTGGTCATTGGTGCTACACAGTTTGTGTTCAGAAGATTCATGGGAGCATGAAAAAACCAGAAAAATAGCCACACATCATGAATTAAAAGTCACTGCTGCCATGATGGGGAAACTAAGAGAATTTCCTCATTGCTTTCTTTTATTTTCAATTCAGCCACAAAATTGGTTAAATTTTAATTTGGAAGCCTTACAAGTGACATCGTGTAAACTGAGCAAATCTTGTAGTCTGCAATCCATAAGGAAATATACTGTTTCTCCAAAAATAAGAGCTAACCTGAAAATAAGCCCTTTTCAGGATACTTGTAATATAAGCCCTACTCCAAAAATAAGCCCCCGTTAAGTGAAACCCCGCCCTCAACCATTATGCACCAACCAGAAGAAGATGACATGTATTTGAATAAATTTAGATAGTTGTATATAAAAAAACCATCCCCTGAAAATGAGCCTTAATGTGTTTTTCGCAGCAAAAATTAATATATGACCCAGTCTTATTTTCAGGGAAACACGGTAGGTATAATTGTGGTAATCAACCTGCTCTGGCTCATGTAGGAGATTACAGTTGTGCCCCCCTTAACGATTAACCCGTATAACGACGTATCCACTTCACCACGATGTTCTTACGATTGCAATTGCGATCGCAAAATGATGTTTTAATGGCGTTTTTTTGCTTTGCGATGATTGGTTCCCTGCTTCAGGAACTGATTCTTTGCATTACGACGATCAAACAGCTGATCGTTGGGTTTTCAAAATGGCCACCGGCTGCTCAGAATGGCTCCCCGCTGTTTTTAGGAGGCATTTTTCATTTAACAGGCACCCGAAAATGGCCACTCTATGTAAGATCTTCATTGGACGAACAGGTATTCAGCCCATTGGAACGCATTGAACGGTTTTCAATGCGTTTCAATGGGCTTTTTAAATTTCGCTTGATGATGTTTTCGCTCTACAGCGGTTTCACTGGAACGAATTAACGTCATCAAGCGAGGCACCACTGTATTTGCATGTACCAGTGGGAGCTCTTAAGAGGCAGAGCCAGAGGAATTAGAAGGGAGAGGTGAATCAGAGTTTGGGGAATTCAGTGAGTGAGAGTCAGAGAGGAGAGTCTGAAAGAAGAGTTTGTCTATGGGAGTTAGAGAGTGTGGCATAGTTAGAAGTTAAGAGTGTGAGCTTATGGAGAGCTAGGAGTTAAGAGTGAAATAAGTTATTACTAATCTAATGAATACATTAAAGTCTGCGAAGAACCTGTTTAAGCGAACTGTAATAAATAAACCTGTGTTGTTCAACTTTATACTCAGCTTCGACCTCAGTCTTTCTAATTAAAGGGTGTTGGCGGAGGTCAGCTGGTAGCAGCAGAAAGAAGAGGATGTGTTGTGGGCCTCAGGCTAGTGAAACAACCTGGGGCCACGTGAGGGGCCACATGGGTAAACGTCGCAATATTAAAATGAAATTTAAAAATAACTTTTCCAGATGATAATTTCATTTTGCATTTAGATATTATTTTCCATAGAAACATTTTTTAGCAAACAAGTGGGTGATAATAGCTTGAGTATTTCAGAAGGCTAATATTCCTAGCTGACACCTTGACTTCATTCATAGGACTTTACCACAGTGTGATCTGTTCAGGAAGAATATTGGCTTACATACAGAGTTATGCGGACCGTTCAAAATTTGATGTGGTTGAAGTGAATTAAACAGTACGAGAACAGTGTGAAAATAATTTGTGAGAATTGTGCTTAAAACTCCCTGGTTCATTTATTCTTATTACATTTATTTCAAAATAAACAGAGATGGTTGATTTAAATATGCTTTCCACAGTCTCTTTTGGTCTGTTTGTTTCTTTGGTTTGTGTGTGCGTGCGTACACACGGACAAATAATTTCTTTAGGGATGAAAAATAAATTAAAATGTCCTCCTCATGTAGTTGTTAACATAGCCAATTTGCAAAACCCTTTATAAGAAAAATGGCTTTGTAATGGGAACACTGTCAGACTCTTAACTACACGCGGCTGGGAGCCATTCTAATAATGTCTAATGCAATTGTAGGAAAACGAATCAGTAGCAGAAAGGAGGATAGCTGCTTGACTGCTCCCTTTCCTGACAAGAAGAAAAGGACAGTGATCAAGCTGAGGTCCTCAAAGGAGGCCCTTATATCTTTGGATAGGATGAAGAATGGGATATACACAAGCAGCTGTAGAAGTCACATAACAAAGTATTTGAATTCTAGCAAGAGATATGATTTTTGCAGGAACATTTAAGCAACTGTGCTTTTTTTAAAAAAATGTACCTTAAATATTAGTAAGGTACATTGCAGATAATGGGAATGTTCAAATGTATGGTTCTGGCTGGGAGCCATTCTAATAATGTCTAATGCAATTGTAGGAAAACGAATCAGTAGCAGAAAGGAGGATAGCTGCTTGACTGCTCCCTTTCCTGACAAGAAGAAAAGGACAGTGATCAAGCTGAGGTCCTCAAAGGAGGCCCTTATATCTTTGGATAGGATGAAGAATGGGATATACACAGGCAGCTGTAGAAGTCACATAACAAAGTATTTGAATTCTAGCAAGAGATATGATTTTTGCAGGAACATTTAAGCAACTGTGCTTTTTTAAAAAAAATGTACCTTAAATATTAGTAAGGTACATTGCAGATAATGGGAATGTTCAAATGTATGGATTTTTTGGTTTGTGTTTTTTGGGTAGCTGTTTACAACATGATATCTTTAATGAGGGATTGTATCAGAATCCTGCCAGAAAGGGAGGTATTGGGTCCTGTAGTATTTAGCCACTCATAATTCTTGAAAGAGAGTGTAAACATAATACTATTATGTGCATATTTAGCCTTTGCATAAGAATGACTATGGGATGTAGGCCCTGTCGAAGGTTTCCCAGGCCTGAACTAAGCAGATAATCTTAGGAAGTAAAAATAGAAAAGATAATTGCAGAATTGAACCTGGCTCTTTTGGTTTTGGCGATATGTGTTCAAATTTCACAATAACATCCAAGATGATAGGGTAGCAAGGGATGAATTTATTTCAGTCGCTTAAACGCTGTATTAGACGCATGATTTGTCTTTTGGTGAAGCTACAAATAGCGATTTGCCAGGGGTGGCGGCTACCAGGAGAGATCCAAGTTAGAAGGGTTATTAATTTCCAGCCCTCAGAACATTTGGAAGTAGCTTTGTTTAAAAAAGGAGGATGAAAATAATGGGGGCAAAAAAACCCCCCGTACACTCCAAAGAACATAGATAGGATTTAATCAATTCAATATGCATGTTAAAGGAAACGCTCCTAAGGACAGTATTTGGATTTAAACTGATGGGGTTTTCTCCTATTTTCTTTTTGACAGCTAACCTCTCCTGAAACATGGCACAGTGACAATCAGTGACAGAAAAGTCAGGTTTGTTCTTTTTGTTGAGTATTGCTTTTAAATTATATCAGATGCAATTGTGATGAGAACATGGCCAAATACTGACATTTCTGACTCATGTATCGGTTGCATATGGCACAACACAGTAAAGGTTCAGACAAGTATATTATTTCATTTTTATTAAGAGGAATCCCAGTGAATTGAATTACCTGAAAGGAGATACACCTATAGTCAATCCACTCTGACCATGGCCGGCCACATTTTTGCTTTTCCACAACTTGAGGTTTCAGTCTTCATTGCATATAATACTCTTCAGATGATCTGCACGGTGGCCTGCAATGTGGCTTCCAGTTCTAGAGATGTAGTCTGAGAATTTTAGAAGAAGTTTAAAAAGAGCCCTAAGAGACAGCAGCCCTCAGGTACCTATCAAAAGTTGATACTGAAGGGAAGCTGATCATTTGGAGACATTCTGTTAACATTTGGCAATAGTGCTTCGGGATGCTTTGACTTTTGTGCAGTAATTTACACAAACCTTGTATTTTTAATTGTAAACAATCATGGAGACACTAAATGTACTAGTCAGAATGTAAAAGGACAAATGTTTTTCCACCCATGTTTTTTGTTGTTATGTGCCAGTGACTAACGTCTACATATATTGACTCTATAAATTAATGAGCCCCAGGAAGTCTTATCTTTAATAGTACTGTTCAGGTCTTACAAACTATAGGCTATGGCTTCCTTTATCCTTTATGAAGTCAGTTATCTTGTGTTAGGTTTTCCTACTGATTTCCACTTTCCCTAGCATTACTCTTTATCCCCCAGGTAGTCTTGGTTTCTGAGCATTTGTCCAAAGAACAATAGCCCAGCTTAGTCATTTCAGATTTTAGTAAAGTCCACCCACTTATTCAACTTTCTGGTTTTTCTTAGAATCCATAAAAATCTCTAACACCATGTTCTTCTTCGTGGCCTCTGTGAATGCACACTAATGGGTTAACAGGGAATAGCATAATATGGTTGATCTTGGCCTTCCTCTCCGACAACATACCTCTACACTTAAGGATCTTTTCGAATGGCTTCATAGATGCCCTTCTAAGCCTGAATCTTCTGATTAATATATGACAGAAAGCACTTCGCCACGACAAGGCAGCAATCCATATAATAATAATAATAATTGATAATTCATAATTCGGGCCAGGAGTCGGTAATGAAGCAGGAAAGCAAGTCTCAGAATTCTGTGACGTCAGCAAGATATTTTTTGGGGGGAAGATTCAGGCAAGATTATCTGAAAGGAGAAACATGCTTAAGGCAAAATGACCAGCGTATACAATTGGAAGTGGAAATTGAAGACCTTCTATTCTGCCTGTAAAAATAAGACTGTGGGTGGATTGTGGTACACACCATGAACTGTTAATACCAAATACTGGCATATTACAAGAATATAACGGAAACAACAGTCCTGAGAAGTTTGTAGCTCTGTAAGAACAGATTTGCAATGAATCAGAAGAACCATAGATTAAAATTTAAGGAGGAGAAGAATGTGAGACTGACTTTATAACTGGGGGGAAAAAAGAAAAGCCTTGATCACTGATGAAACTCTTGAAATTGTTAATGGCAAACAAGCAGCAAAAGTGAAAGGTGACAGATATAAAGTCAGAATACTAAGTGGAACTTTATAGCAACTTCATTGTCTTCTTAGGTGCCATCAGGTTGTTTCCAATTTACTGTGTGTCTAAAAAGTCCCATCATTAGTTTCCCTGCTCAGGTCTTGTGGATTCTAGGCTATGACTTCCTTTATTGAGTAAATCTATCTTACATTTGGTCTTCTGCTTTTCCTGCTGGCTTGAACCTTCTATGTGTCTTATCCAGTGAGTCTTGTCTTCCCATTATATGCCAAAGGTATGATAGTCTCAGTCTAGTTGTTAAGCCATTTCTGCTTCAAGAAAGGTATGACTTGATTTGATCTACCACCCACTTATTTCTCTTTCTGGCAATACACATTATCCATAAAGCTCTCCTCCAACACCACATTTTGAATAATCATTTCTCCCCCTGTCCGCTTTCTTTACTGTCCAGCTTTCACATCTGTACACAGTAATCAGGACTACCCTACTATGGATGGACTTGGTCTTCATTGACACACCCTTAAGTATCTTTCTTTCATAACTGCTTTTGCAAGTCTCAGTCTTCTTGATTTCTTGGCTGCCATCTCCATTTGGGTTGATAATTTATCCCAGATATAAGAAATCTCTTATCAGTGCCAACTTTTTCATTGTTGTTGTTGTTCTTAGTCGTTTAGTTGTGTCTGACTCTTCGTGAGCCCATGGACCAGAGCACACCAGGCCCTCCTGTCTTCCACTGCCTCCCAGAGTTGGGTCAAATTCATGTTGGTAGCTTCGATGACCCTGTCCAACCATCTCATCCTCTGTCATCCCCTTCTCCTCCTGCCTTCACACTTTCCTAACATTAGGATCTTATCATTGTTAAAGTTAAGTCATGTTTCTCTAGCCAGGTTTTTTATCTTCTTCATGTTCCACTTTTGCATGTTCTTCTTTTATGATCCTCAGCATTCGGGCTGAAGTACCAAAAGCCGAGGTAATAGGGAATCATCTGCATATTTTAAATAGTTGACGTTTCTTTTATCATTTTGTCACTGCTGTTGTTTGCTGGTAGTAGGGTATCATCTGCATATTTTAAATTGTTGACGTTTCTTTTGCTGAGTTTTACTCTTCCTTCATCTGATTCTGATCCAGTTCTCTGTACTATAAGGAGAGAAAACACATTATATTAGATTCCTTTGTTCCTCTTGTACTCTGGAGAAAAGGGCCAAGGAAACTGGTGTAACAATAATTGCAAAGAAAGAAAAAGAACAGCCACAAAGGAAAACTAGGGGATCTCTTGGGGGAGAGCCAGAAAGTCGAAGAGAAATCCATCATAAACCATATTTACAATGTGATATTGATGTGTTTCTTCAAGACACCTGGCACCATTGGAAGCAAAATGTGACACTGCCAGTCATCCTGTAAAATAAATGTGAGGACTTTAAGAGTTAGAGTTACATGTTCATTTATCCTTTTGTCTCCACTTTAATCTAATTCGAAAGCCAATTGATAGTATTGATTACATTCTGTTCAAACTTATCTGCAGTGTATGGTACTGTACTCAATGTGTGGTAAAATGCTATTCTTTCCATAAGTGACTTGAGCATAAAAGGTGAAACTATAGAATTAATTTGCTAGCACTTTCTTCAAAATTGTATGCTGGGTTTCTGTAAAACGTTGCCTGGAGCAGTATTCTAAGTAAATTATTGTTATTTACTCTGACTTTTTTGCCTGCATATTTAAAGTCAACAATTATGTTTCTTTTAATGGCTTTGTACAGTATTTTTAGAAACCTGGTCAGTTCTTACTCAATTGAGAGTAAACCTCTGATTAATATTGAGTAGTCTTTAGAGCACACCAAACACAACTTTATAGATTAGCTACTGTTCCAGAGCCATTAACAGATCCATGACATTTAAAAAATTTTCAGAAGTGAATTTAAGAAGAAGAAAAAACTAGAGAGGAATGGAAATACTTGATGGTATTTCATTGTTAGTCTTCACTGGCTACATGGGTAGCATGGTGGCATCTGTCTCATGCATAGTTGTTAGGGGGTCAGCAATGTAAATGTGCCAACAGTTCCAACTTTGGGAACATGGTAAATAAATTTCTTTCATCCACATTTAATCTCAAATTTTGTTTTTGCTGATTGAGGGAGAAGTTCACTCCCACAACTACTTTGAAATGTAAATTCTAAATTGGGGATCTCTTGAAAAGGTATAGAAAATGAAAAGGGGCCAGTGTGGTAAAGTTTTTATAAAAATATTCAGTATACAATGCTTATGGAATACTTTATTTATGTGTTTATTTTATTTTTTTAAACGTCTATACTACCCATGTGTCCAAAGGCCATTCTGGGTGGTTTACAACAGTGGGAAGAACAAAATAATAATAACTCACAATAACTAACTTAACTAGAAATTAGAGGAAAAACAGAATTGACTATGGATTTAAATACATTTAAAACAATTAATAAGTTGGTAGCCATTAAAACAAGATAGTGGCTCATAGATACAGTGATCTCCTCAGATAAAATATTTTGGGAAGCCTGCCAAACTAGCAAAGTTTTTAATGATTTCATAAGAATCACCAAGGAAGGAGCTAGGTGGATTTGAAATGGTAGTTAATTTAGAAGCTGAAGAGCAATTGCTCAGAAGTTTATTTCTGGACTAGTAAAGTTTCTAAAGATGGCAACCCAAATAATCAATGGATTAAATCAGCTTCTCGAAAGGGTTATAGTGTTGGCAAATTTTTAACATAGAAACATTTGTAAGGCAGGACAGGGTAAAATGTATAATACAGTATATGAATAAAATATTGTATGGTGAAAATAGATAATACAGTCTTACAATGCAGGAGAGAATTGTAAGGACGCACCTGGAGTATTGCATACAGTTCTGGTTGTTGCACCTCAAAAAAGACATAGTGGAACTGGAAAAGGTTCAAATAGTGCAACTAAAATGATGACTGGGCTGGGGCGCCTCCCTTATGAAGAAAGACTACAGTGTTTGGGGCTCTTTTGTCTAGAGAAAAGGTGCCTGGGGGGGCATGATTGAGACATATAAAATGATGGAAGGGATGGATAAAGTGGATAGAGGGAAGCTCTTTTTCCTCTTACGCAATACCAGAACCAGGGCACATCCACTCAAATTGAGTGTTGTGAGAATAGACGAAGCAAAATATTTCTTTACCCAGCATGTTTTGGTGGATCTTCTTGCCACAGGATGTGGTGATGGCATCTTTCAGGTGCCTTTAAAAGGGGATTGGATAGATTTCTGGAGGAGAAGGCCATCGCAGGTTACAAGCCATGATGGGACACTTCCATAGACTGACTTGAACCGTAATGGTTCCTGAGTCTTAAAAGATACGAGCAGTGTTATTCTCAAAGCGTTACACAATTATTTCACAGTGCCTCTTTAGGTTCTTTAACAT